TATGGTTCATGGGGTCACGAAGAGTCGGACATGACTTAACGACTGAACAACAACAAATGTATTACAATTGTTCAATACTTCTTTTTTCCCTAAATCCAGAACTAAACACTTCATAGTCATTTCCTTTTCAGCATGGTATCAAACTAGATGCCCCACCTTCCCGTATCAGTTTTAGTACCAAACTCACATGATTTACACCAAATAATGGATATACCTACTTTACAGTTGGGTTAGTATTAGATGATGAATTGATTTAGACAAGCAGACCAAGTGTCAGAATCCTCGCAAGATTTAATAGTAGATTGTTATGATTTAGAAATTGCTTTTTACATGCTACGGTTCTGCCATTGTAAAAGTGGGGGGGGAAAAGGTATGAGAATCCGTTAAAGGCAGATGGCTTCTTATCACAGACGCTGGCATGCTCAAGGTCGTACCAGCAAGGGAATCAGGAGACCAGGAGCGGAGGGGGGTGTAGGGGGGAAAAGTAAGAAAAACAATTTTTGGCGCGCTTAGGCTCAGTCTTAGCAATGCTTTGGAACTATACACTTGTTCTCAATAAATGAACTTTCTTTTGAATCAATACTGGTTGCAAGGAAAGTTACTGGATTTGGGATCAGCGGGTGGCAGATCGTTACACCAAGTATAAAGAGACTCAACATCAAATAGCTACCAACTTACTTAGACTGAAAAGGCAAACTATTATATATAAACAGCCAGCAAACCCCACTCTCCCTTGCACTCATGACATTACCTAGCTTGGTAATGAAATGTCTGCAAGAAACCAACCAAGCTCAGAGAGCACCAAGAACTCAACAGTTCAGTCCTGAGCCACACATACTCTCTTCTATTGATTACAAAATTTCTTTCACAGATTCATGGATTCCTCCCTGATGTTGAATCATGAAAAGAAGCAAAATTCAGCAATATGTAGAAAGTAATAAACATGTCATGGAGTGGGGCAGCAGAGGAAGAGTGCAAAATAATAGCATTTGACAATCCCTTATGGAAAACAAAATAGAAGTTAGGCTTGAACTTAAATGTCATGCTTCAACAAGTGATATACCTGATGTCTCAGTTCTTCTATCTCTTCCTGACAGGAAATAACTTCCTTTTCTGCAAGCTTCCGCAAATCTTCATTTTCATCTAGAATAAAATAGCACACTATTATTGCAATGCTATTAATCTTTTCCCTTGCTTACAATTCCTTCCCTCTCTCCTGGCTATCTGTTATTTCTATCCTTCAGATGCCAACCACAAATATAGAAGATATATTTTCTTAGCAACAATATAGCTCTTTTTGAGTGGGCTGACACTTCTATTTTGGTTAGGGATTCTTCTATAGATTAAAATAGGAAATAGCCTTTACCTTTTATTATTTGTGATTTATGTGAGTAAATATGACTGTATGGCTTTACAGGACATTTTATTTGGGACTAACTCTAAATGAGCAGATTAGTCCAGCATATTAAAAAAAAAGGGGGGGGGGAACAGTTTTAATACCAGAGCTAACAAGACCAGGAGAACCAATTTCTACCCAGACATGTACTCTGTTCTGAGGTAAAGATTTCATATGTTATTTCCTTCATTGAGAAGTGTTGACATTTCTCTCAAATCAACTACAGTAACTCTTTTCATTGCCTTCTCAACCACTACCAGTGGTCCCCATCAGCTAAATCCTTTTCCTCAGAATTTTTCTACTTGTCTCTGGTGAGGTGAGAAAACTTGAACTTTTCTATGACAGTCTTCAACTACAATCACTGAATAGTAATTGTGTCTAAGTCTCTTTAGCATTATGCAAAAATGTTACATATTTGCACCTGCCTGTGACACAAAAGGACAAGGGAAACAATACAGACACAAATACAAATGTATGATTTTTGTATAAAACTTCATTACTGAACAAATGAGCAGAAGAAGGTATAGTTCTTGAAAATGAAATAATAGATGGCAGCTTTTCTCCCCCCCCTCCCCCCATATGCTCTCCTGCCTCACTTCTGATGCAATGAAGTGAAACATCTGGAAGGAGAGAGTCAAATGGCAGCTGAACTGATGGAGCTCAGCCTTTGTGGTTCACCCTTCCCTTTGACATAGACAGCTAAAAAGCTGTAGAGCAGCCACAGAAATATAAATATTTTCCAAGTAAAATCACCATTTCATATCAAGATCTTAAAAGCTTGACTCCTGGTAGCTTTACAGACATATCTCTATGTTTCTCCATTTATTATATTTATATCACACCTTTTCTCCAGGACTGACAGGAGGCTTACACAGAGGTCTCTTTACATTTTATCCCATAACAACTTTGTAATGTTGATTGAACAATATTAGGTAGGTAGAACAACCAGCCTTAGAATTGACAATGAAGATAGAGAAGTGGTGGGTAGCTTCTGCCTTTTAGGATCAATCATCAACAGTAAAAGAACAAGTGGTCAAAAAATATGCCGCATACTAACGCTTGGTAGAGCAGCCATGAAGACCTTGGAAAAGATATTAAAATGTTGTGATGTTTCTATACCTACAAATATCAGAATTGTGCAAGCCACGGTATTCCCTGTGACACTGAATGGAAGCAGGATAGGAAGAGTATTGATGTTTTTGAACTTTGGTGTTGGAGAAGACTCCTGAGAATATCATGGGCAGGCAAGAAAACAAACAATGGATCATCAAACAAATCAACCCAGAATTCTCACTTGAGGCACAAATGACCAGGCTCGAATTATCCTACTTTGGACACATTATGCAAAGATCTAGTTCTCTGGGAAAGGCTTTAATGTTGGGAAAGGTGGAAGGAAAGAGAAGAGGAAGACTAGCAGCAAGGTAGATGGACTTAGAGATGGGTGCACCTGAAAGACCAGGTTAGGGGCAGATCGTCCTGGAGAAAATCTCTATATGCGGGCTAAGAGTCGGCACCGACTTGATGGCACATAAACAATCGACACTGAGTGGGCTGAGCAAGCGTGATGAGCTCGGAGTCACTGAGCGGACTTGAAGAGCACTAACCCAGCACTTTACACGCGTCCCTGCTGATCTCCTCGGAGACCCGGCAAGGTCGGCTGGGCCACCTAGCGCGCACAGTCCTCTTCCGATCCTGCCTCAGGCGGAGGCGCCTCACCTTCTCGCGCCAAGCGCTCTGTCTCGAGCAGCTCCTCTTCCTTGTCTCGCAAGAGGCGAATCCGCGCTGCCAACGCCGAAGGGACGCCGTCGGAGTGCTCTTTTGGCCGGGAATACTGGTCCAGGAAGCGCTGAAGCGCCGGCCTCGCGAACAACTCGCGCAAGTCCGGCTGGCCGCTGAGCCAGCGCCGTGGCAGGGCTTGCCCACGGCATCGCGCACCGGCGACAGGGACCAAGGAAAAAGAAGCGGCGAACTTCCCCCAAGCCGCCCGACTCCGTCCAAAGCACCACCACATGCCGGGGTTCCGCTTCCGCCCCCGTCGCGAGGGCAATGCCTTTCAGAAGTCGCCGCTCTCTCCTCCGCTCTCACTGATAGAGACCAACAAGTGCAAACAGATACGGACAAGTGTTAGTTCAGGTTCTGGTTCGATCTCGAGGCCTCGCGCCTATGCGGGGCAGTTTCATACCGCAAAAGGGGGGCATTTGCCACTCCTCCTTAAGGTACTGTATTTGTATGCTCGCTTGTGAACTTGAAGTGTAATGTTTGAGTGTCATCACCGTCTCTCATTGTTACTGCCGATTCATTTAAGATTCCGGAAAAAAACGAAGAGCGGTGGCTAGGCTAATTGGCCCTCGTGCTTGCGCTCCTAACTCCGGCTCGAAGAACTGCGACTAATGCCGGAAATTGCCGAAGGTACTCCCCAACGCTGACATGCCCCCTGTGTTTAGCTCGGCAATGATCGGAAACGCGCTGGCTTTAGCAATGCTCGGAGGGGTCGGGCGGGGCCGTGGCGCGATAAATGCTGGAGTTACGCGGCGTGGGGAGCTTTTGGACTATAGTGATCCAACCTCAGATGGGAGTTGTAGTCCAAGAATGTCTGATTGCTCGCAGCTTCTCGACAATTGCTAGAATGTCGCTCAATTTTATATGACCTATGATGGGCAGGGAAGGAGCATTATGATAAGGGGGAGAAGGGCAGGATTATATTACGGCTATTTTTGCAAAGCAGTTTTATGGGTGCTACTGGAGGAGAAGAGGACCATGTGCTGGAATAGGCTGAGCAGCCACAAGTTGAAGGGAAGAGCTATTATCTATTACTAGGAACTGTCCTTAAAGAGTACAGGCAGGTCTCCATTAGTGCGGTTAATATTCGAAGTGATATTTCTATGGAAAATAGAGTAATTGGTTCCAGCTCCATGGAAATAGGCAATTAAAGTTTTTAAACATTTTAAAAATTATTTTAAATTAAATTCTATTAATGAAATACAGCATAATAGTAAAAGAGGGTAAACCCACATCCAAAGCATACATGCTATCTCCTGTATTCAGCTGTAGTTTTTTCAAAATGAGCCTCTGCTTTTTTCAGCTTTCCTGTAACCGAAACTTCCTTTTCTCCATTTAGATGA